GAATCTGAATCAGTACAGAAGCCTCCAAGATAAACTTTTAGTGGAGAGAGAGAATTGTCCCACTTGTTCCAACCCAAAAAGTCAGTTTGACTTTTTTTGACATTGACTAGAGAAGTGGATGAATGACCTTCCATGATTATATCCCTGCCAACACAGGACCATATCCATCTAAGAAAGCCTGTGTAAAAACCACCTTGCTGAGTACACTCAACACACCAAATTATGAAAGAAGATACCAAAACAAATGTTGCTGTTCTAGTCCTCTACATTTGAGAGCAATTGGTTAAACAGTGATAGATAACTGGAACATTAAATTGACATATTTTTAATTTTACTAATGTAATACTCTTTCAGTTAATACAGAGGTATATAAAGGAGAGACTAAAAATGTAACACTTTGAAAGTAAATATTACACAGAAAATGGAGTCAGTATAACAGAGGCAAATGGTTCATATTCTGTACCTAGTAGCTTTTATACTAGTCCCTACAAAGTGATATAAAGAGACAAAGTATATTAGACATTCTTAGGAGTGTAGCAAAGAGAATAAGTAGAGGCATAGGGCTTATTTTCAGGTTGCTAAAATGCCCTAAACTTGATTGCAGTGATGGTTTTACAATTCTGGGATTGTACTATGTACCACTGAGCTTTATGTTTATTGCTGCATTGTATGATATGTGATTTACAAGAAAACAAAATTGACACTTCCCCCCCAAAAAAAATTCATTGAAGGAAGTTATCCTTAAATGTTGATTCACCAGGATTATGACTATATTTCTGCTTCTGTACAAAGAAGCTGCAAACAAAAGTAATACGTCACATGCCACTGTTCTTGACATTATTCAAAAGCATCAAGTATAACATAAGAGACATATACATGTAAGGTCATCAACTCTTAACTACAGGAAAGAACACAGAAAGGAATTATGGCACATTTTCATATGGACATGAGGTCATCTACCATTTGCTTTTCCCACTTGGCAGTCAGACACTCTGTCTATTAGTGTATGTATTTACTTAGGTGTGTACAAGTTATATTTTAACTAATGATTTCTGCTTGGATATCAGCAAGAGCAAAGGGAATCCAGTGTGAAAGGAAGACTTGCATCTCACCAGGATGTCTACAAAAATGACTGCAGTTCTGTTCCTGTTACAGCTGAGTAGTCACTTTAGTTCTGGAACTTGTGGGAAGGTGCTTGTGTGGCCAATGGAATACAGCCATTGGATCAATATAAAGACAATATTGGATGAACTAGTTCAGAAAGGTCACGAAGTGACTGTTCTGAAATCCTCAGCTTCCGTTTCTTTTTATGTTGAAGAAGGATCTGCTATTAAATTTGAGACTTACCCTTCAGCAATGTCTAAAACTGACATGGAAGATTTTTACATTGAAACAATCAGGAAGTTGATTTATGAGCTGCCAAAAGAATCAATTTGGACATACTTTTCACTGTTGCAAGACCTGGTGTGGGAAGATTCTGAATACTTTATGACACTCTGTAAAGAGGTAGTTTTTAACAAGAATCTTATGACAAAACTACGTGAATCCAAGTTTGATGTCATTCTTGCAGATGCATTTGGTCCCTGTGGTGAGCTGCTAGCTGAGCTATTTAAAATACCACTTGTGTATACTCTTCGCTTTTTGTCTGGTTACACGTATGAAAAATATAGTGCAGGACTTTCATTCCCTCCTTCCTATGTGCCTATTCTTATGTCAGAATTAAGTGATCAAATGACTTTCATGGAGCGGATAAAAAATATGCTCTATGTGCTGTATTTTGATTTTTGGTTCCAAACATTTGATGAGAAGAAGTGGAATCAGTTTTACAGTGAAATTTTAGGTAAGCCTATTTTCTAATGGCATGAAAATTCCAAAATTAGTCATGTCTCTGAGGGTGAGCCTGCGGGAGTATGAAGTCAGAGAAGTTAATCTTTTAAATGTGTGGTGATAAAATAAAAAATATTTTATCACAATAATACATCAAACTCAAAACACTATGGAAAAGCTTCAGTTGTAAAGTTAGTTTGAAATGTTTGGATACAGCAGGAAGTCACATACACAAAATAAGCCACTGGGGACTTCCCTAGGAAGTCACACACATTTATTACCCTTTTAGTATCCATTTTATTTCATCTTCAAAACAATAATTTTTAATGTTACTCAATGTCTTCATGAGTCTAGAATGTAGTTGGATGACTCCTACAAATATTTCTAGAACAATTATCTATGTAGCTTTGAGTAAATCAGCTCTGTATCTGTAGATTAGTTTCCACATTTATAAATTCAAATATTTTGTCACTTAATTCATCTCTCACATTGTGCCTTTCACGTATGTCCACATAAATATGAGCAACATATATGTTTTTTATATATGCACATATGCATACACACACATTAGCTTTATTAAATCACAGAAACTCTTAAACATGTTTGGCTTCATTATTAAAAGTTTTTTCAGATACTTACCAGACATATTCATTTCCACATGATAACTTTCTAATGTCTTATAGCTTTTGTATTCCTTTTCCTGTTCAGGAAGACCCACTACATTATTAGAGACAATGTCAAAAGCAGATATCTGGCTCATTAGAACCTATTGGGATTTGGAATTTCCTCGCCCAACCCTACCAAATGTTGATTTCGTTGGAGGACTCCACTGCAGACCTGCCAAACCTCTGCCTAAGGTAAACCTATTCCCATTTAGTTGGTTCTGTTGTCCTTGCATTTTCACCAAGAATGATTCTCTGTTCTCACTCAGAATGTCTCATTCACTGTGAAAAAAAAAGTTATAGGAAATGGGACAAAAGTGATCTGTAGATAGAAATTCTTACATGTCTATGCATATTCACATAACTATGTAAATTTTATTTTTTTAACAGTAGAAAAGCAAAACCTAGGGACTTTTGAGAACTACACAAAGTTTCCGTTAAATTGAGGTCTTTATTTCTCAACATACAAGACAATACCAGTCATTAATTCAAAGAAATGACTAGCATGTACCATAGGAAAATTCTTTATATGTATAGAAACAAAGTAACAGAGTCTCTTCTCCCAAATACCTTACATTCTACATTGAAAGACAGACTGTGAACATGAAAGAGAAATTTTGTGAGAAATATTATAATAGAGAAGGACCACAGGCATTTCCTGTCTACCCAAGGCTATTGGGGAACCTCAGGAAAACTCCCTGTGGCAAAGGGGGTCACCACACTTTAGTTGTCTTAAAGTAAAAGAGAGAGATATAATGCAGAGTTATCAATGACCATAAATTTTGCATATTTGAAGAATAAATATTAACTTGTACTACTTGTATCTGTAGGATGCTCTTAGCTTTTAATTATAAAATAATTCTGTAAGTATTTAGAATAATACTGCTTATGAAAAACCATAAGAATCTGATGTATTTTTAACAAATACTGCACTTTTATCATTCCAATAAACTGTAAGGATAATAAAAAGAGACACAGAGACAAGACGCAGAGGCAGAATGGCCAAGTTGCCCACTTTATTTAAATCAATAGGTTACATTAGGTCACTGGCATCAGTAATACATTATTGTTCATTGTGTCATTAGGCAGGATACAGAGTTAGCAACATTATGCAGCTTTTTTCTCAGTTACACACTATAGTTGCAGTGTACAATATTAGCAGCTTTGTATAGCTCTCAAGAAAATCCATTGTTTAAATTTACTATTATGTGGGCAGGTTCAGGCAGCAGAGTTTGGTGAAACATTGTGGTTGTTTAACAAGATAATTTCTTTATTCCCATGAGCTATGTGCCTAAGATGAAAATTGAGAATGATAAGACTCTACCACAGAGACTCCTCATGCAGGTCATTGGTACAGCAGCTAGGCATTCTGTGTCTTTGCACAGAAACTTCCTAGCCACCAAGCATGCCAAAGTCATGAAGCCATCAGAGACCCAATCCTGTAAGAAATAATAATAAAGAGGAGACAGAGTCAAAGTGCAGAAGCAGGGAAGGTGGAAGAGTGGCTCTTTGTCCAAGTGGCCACATTTATTTATACCAATAGGTTACATCAGGTCATTAGTACCATAACCACATTATTGTTTAGAGTATCAGTAAGGTTGCTTATTCTGCAGTTACATTTCACAATTACAATAAGCAGTATTAGGTGCTTTGTGCAGTTCTCAAGAAAAGCCACTGTCTGAATGTTAGGTGGGCAGCTCCAAGGGCACAGAAGCTTGATGAAATGTTGTAGTTATCTATCAAACAAGTTTTTCTATTCCCAGGAGTATGTGCCTGCAATCAAGGTTGAGGCTTGATGAGGCTCTAAGACAGAGGTCTCAGAGCACTGCCATACCAGCTGAACATAGCACATATATTAACTATATTATTAAATCCTTAGAAAAATTATAGGGCATTCTAAGGGTGGGAAACAGAGTGCCTGAACCCCACTTTCCCCTTGTGTTTTCTCACCATGGGAATGCTTCCCTTTACATTTTCAGGGCCAGAATCCCTATACAATCCCAAACACAGAGCTGTTACATTAAACAGCAATCATTTATTTCACTATTAAGTGATCACTTAAGAGATTTTTTTTTGTCTACTCTTTTATTAGCAGTACCATTGTATGTGATCTCATTGATATTTAAAATCCAAATATAGGTACTTAAAGCCAAACTTTGAGGGTACATGTTGCAATTCAATTCCAAAAGCACACCTAAGAGTAATGGAAGTTCTGGGTAGTTCAATCCTATTTTAAAAAGATTTCTCCATTTGTGTTAAATGGAAATGACAGTGTCAATACAGAAGGAAAGAGAGGATATCCAGAAAAAGAATGAGAAAGATGAAGTTCAGCCTAAGTGCAGGGTGACGGTCAGTGGATGAAAGATTACTAAGAACAAACATCAGAAGTCAAGGAAATTTTAGCCAAAACAATAATTCTTGCTGAAGACAGAACATAGTACTCAGATATCACAACTGACAAATTTCCTGATGTGCAATTTAAGTGCTTTTAGTGATGGCACAGATATCAAGGTCACAGTTGAGTTGATTTCTTAGAGCAAAGCATGAAACCACCCAGCTTCAACTTGTGGGAAATCTTTAGAGAGTCACACACACAAAAAAAAGTCACAGTTTTGTTCCTGGTAGCCTACACCAGGAAGATAGCAGAAACAATGAATACTTTAGTTTGATGAGGAACCTAGAATTGAAAATTTAGTGAGGAGGGACACAACATGACACTGTCCAATTTACAGGTTAAAATAACACAAAATAGTGTGTCATGGTATTCCTCTGTGACATGAAATTTACCTACAACCACTCAACTCCATTTCTGAAAAATGATAGGTAAAGTAAAGTAATTCTTCCTGGCCAAATATGTTTAATTTCATTGTATTGCGTGGATTATTTTCACCAATGAAGCAAGAATGGAAATTGATCATAATGCTTTTGAGGCTTCCTTTGCCAGATCTTTCCAAAAGAAATCTCAGATAGACTTCTAAAAGCCTCCTGAGGCTGGGAAACCTGGGAAGCCAAGTTAGGAAATAGAGTTAAACTTCTAACGGCAAGAGCATCTAGTATGTTGTTTCCAAATTCTGTAGAGATTAGAAAAAGGGAAGCCAATAAATGATTAATTTCTATAAAAAAGTATAAACTACAAATTTGTTATGTGGGAAAATACTGTACGGGAAAAGAAAAAACAGTGCCTTGAATCATGAAAACAAAACATCAAATTCCAACAAAATCTCAAACTTAATGTCAAAAATATTATAATCATTCTTTATCAGATCATTCATTTCCATGTCTAATTTAGGCAGGGTCAGCAAACTGCAGTAGTTAAAGATGTGATGAAAATCCATTTGACAAGCAAATGTTTTAGTGACGTTTTCTAATAGGACTGTTATATCATTCAATAATTCTTTATCTTTCTTAACAGACACAAATATAATTATGCTTAAAAGCCACATGTAAAAATTAGTGTTTCAGTCTTATGTGGAAATGGGCTACACATCTAATAAACAAATATCCCTTAATTTAACTTAGTATATAACTAAGGTATCAAATTAACAAAAAGATTTTGGAAATTGGTTTTAGGAAGACATACTTTTCACACTTTACAGCAAAAATACTAGACCTCATCTCAAATTATTTCCTTGTTAACTAATTGTAACCATAGGTGACTGGTAGACCCAGGTAAAATAAAAATATAAGCTCATATTATACTTATGATGAAAACCAAGTCACACATCTGTTTTTAGTAAACCAATAACATCAAACTAGTCATATTTTCCAAAGACTTACTAAGCCATGTGAATATTGAAAGTATTTGATTTTTTCTACATTTCTGGTAATTTTAGGTATGTGTAATTTATGTAAGTGCTCATTTATCTCACAGTGAGTTGGAATAGAAAGCCATTCAGAGATTTTATATTTTTCATTAGGCATATCATCTAGAGCTGAGAAAATATCATATATATGTAACATGTAACACATACACACATTCATACACACATACAGGCATAAACATGCAGACACACAGATCTCCAGCTTCCATTCTAAAATTTTAGGCATGAATCGGGCAACACTGTAATACAAAACTTACTGCTATTATCTCCATATAATATTTCATCTAAATTGTGTTTCTGATAAAAATGCAACAAGGTAAGATTATATATTCAATATGGAGTAAAGATTCTTGGAATTAAAATATGTGTGAAGAAGGCTTTTAAGGGAGTCTTCATTTTATGTGAGGGAGACAAGACATCTTGTGTCCCTCTAAATGTCTTTGAAGCCCATCACTTGGACAACATATTCAGTTTATGTCTAATTAGCCTTTTCCCTTTAAACCTCAAGTAGTTGCTTTGGAGGATCCTGAGTTCCTTGAGAGCCCTTGCTTGAGGCAGAGGTACAAGTGACTGTCACTGCAGGAACAGAGGTGCTAAAGAGGGAAGTGAAAAGTGCAGCTCTGGGCACAGATGGAGGGAGGAGATAGGACCTAGAAGGAGACATAGCAAAGGGTGAAGGGGCCTAAGGAGAACAGTGACATGTTAAAAGAAGAAGAAACAGGAGATGGAAAGGGAAAGTCCACCAAGGAGCATGTTTGGGGATATCTAATGTTTCCCTAAGTAACCTTAAAGATCCAAACTATCTGTACTGAAATTATACCAACAAGAAAGAAAGCAGAGACAGTTGTCAGAACACAAAGTTGGCAGGGGCTTGAAAAGAGCTTTCATTTGATTGATGTGTTCCCATGGGAAAATTAATAAATAGGCCTCAGGACTAGCTAAGCAAAAAGGAATTTTAGAGCCCAGATGTCAGGGAATTATCTCCACTCCAGAGAGACAGCCAGTAAGGTACCCAGCTATCTTTCCATCAAAGATGCCTGTCACTGTAAACAGCCTTTGCTTGCCTAGAACTCTAATCTTGCCCCTTAAAACTGAGACTCCTAGGAGACTAGCGTAGCCTCCAATTTCTTGGACTTTAGATCAGCTTAAACAGAATAGTGATGTTCTTGAAAAACATGATCTTCCCTTACCAATGTCAGCAGATGTTTCCTCAGGACAAAGTTTCAGGAGATTTACTCCCCAATAGGTAGCCAATCAACCAGTGAGGAGTGAAGGCACAGGCTTTAAAGATGCACATTTACAATCCTGAATGAAAGATTAAGCAGTTTAGAAATGAATATGACCTTCTCTGGGGGTTAAAGAAAATAAAAATTTAATGACAAACATTAAACACAGTAAGGCGAACTGCATTTTGCATCTACACAGTAAGTGTAGACACCACTGCAATTGAATTTTGTAGAAAAGGGAGATAAATTAAGTTCAGTTATGAACACAAGGAAAAAGATAGATTTAGAGAAAAGGTTTAAGGTGAGGGTCAGTGGATAGAAAGTTATTAAGAGAAAACATAAGGGGCTGCAGGGATTCTGGCCAAACTAATCTAACAAGATAGTTGCTGAAGGCAGGTCAGTGGGATATCTGGGAAAGGAGGAGTTTGAGAGACCTGAAAATATCTTAAATCAGATATAAAATATTAGATATAAGTGTTGGCAGATTCTAGTTAAGCTAATTTAACAAGACTCAAATTTAGAGGATTCGGGACAATGCAAAGAAGAATACCCAAATACTAAATGCAAAGAAGAAAAACAAAAGCCAGCTTTTATAGGAGATGCAATTTTAGATAGGACAACAAGCATTTGGTCAAGGAGAAAAAAAAAATTCTCACTAGTCTATAGTGATTATTTCATTTCTTGCTAGAACACACACACACACATATACATACACACACGTGTACACACAGAGAGAGACAGAGAGATGCATACACATGCATATATGCATAATAAAGGGAATGTATTTCATATAAGAAATCTCCAACTAAACTAAGTGATTAAGTTTTTTAAAAAGAAGGATAACATGGGCTGGGGATGTAGCTCACTGGTAAAGCACTTGATTGGCATGTATAAGGCCCTAGATTCAACTTCTGGCAACACACACAGATACACACACACACACACACACACACACACACACGACAATACTGAATGGTTTTACCAGTTCCACTTCTGGCTAGATTGTAGAAGAATTGATTGAAGGATCTTCACAAGGTTTTGGCCCAAGGTCAATCACAAAACTCCATTCCTGGAAATGAAGAGATGCAAATTACCTAGGTATATGTTAATGAATTTTTGATAAAATGTACATAAATATCACTAAATCTTAAAAAAATTAGGGAATTGGGATAGATGCTACAATATTAAGAAAACATTAAACTAAGTAATATAAGTCTGTCCAAAAAAAAGAAAGAAATCACTATGAATCCACTTACATGAATACCTGACTAGCCAATTTCGGAGAAGCAGAAAGTAGAAGTAAGGTAGACAATGAACCAGGGGAGGAGGAAACCAGGAGTTCTTGCTTAACTTATATAGATTTCCTGTGTAAAAATAAAAATGTTCTGGATGTTGTTCGCATAAAAAAATGTGAAATATATGCATGTGTAATACAGAATTTTATACCTTTAGAAATTGTTATAACTATATATTATATTGTATATATTATAACTTAATTTTTAATACAGCCCAACATAATTTCCTTAAATTCTTATTTATTTCCTTAAATGTTTCTACAAACCTTACAATACTCCGTGTTCTGTATTTTCTCTTTTGTGATGGAACAAATTCTTTCCTTTACAGGAAATGGAAGACTTTGTCCAGAGCTCTGGAGAGAATGGTGTTGTGGTGTTTTCTCTGGGGTCAATGGTCAATAACATGACCCAAGAAAGGGCCAATGTGATTGCATCAGCCCTTGCCCAGATTCCACAAAAGGTTAGATAAAGTGCCCTAATGGTAGATAACTACTAAATATATAAACAAAAATATATACAGCAAATTCTGAAATAGCACAAAGGATATTTTTGATTAATAATACTTTGACATTAACATTGTGCTCAGGATGAAATACATTATTCAGGTGCAGTATGAACTTGGTATTAAAAAATTATTATATGCAGATACACAGTAATCTCCAAATTCTGCTCTTTCATTTCCTTGTTTTGCTTGCAGAACTCCTGAAGACACTGTGCACACTACAGATATAAGAAGCATGGAGTTAAATATTAGTCAGTGATTCCATCAGGGCAATAGCAATAGCAGGCAATAAAAAGTCTGAATAGCATCATACAGCATCATCATCCTATATAATCCTGGCCTTGATACTCCCCCTAAATGTTAGAAGGGGCCTAGTTATGATGATTTTTTGTGCTGCTAGTTAGAGAAAGGAAGGCCAGGCTCACCAACCCTGAGTGCAGGTATCCATAAAAACAAGGAGACTTAGTTTGTCATGGTGGACATGGCCCTATTAATTACTCAAGAAGGAAGATGTAAGAGAAAAGGTGGAGATGGAATCCTGTGAATTAGAAACTGTGAACCTACAAGGACAAAACACTAGTAACCCATGGAGAAAGTGGTTATAGTAATCTTCGTATATCAAAACAAAGGTTAATATTAAATTTAGTAGATATGAATTAGTATAAAATACAGATTTATAAAACAAAATGAAGGTAAATAGTAATTTTTTACACATTATGCTATAGATCTATAATTATCAATTTCTTAAATATTTGTATTTGATATTGATAAACTCATTTGTCTAAGCTACTACTTATATGAAGCTACTATTTATATTAACTTAATTAAATATAAAAATGAATACAGGAAAATTATGTCTCTCTTTGTATACCCATTTCAATAGTTATTATTATTTATTGTTTCTTGATCTCATTTCTTTATCTTGCATAGGATAGGTATTTAAGTATGTGATTTCTTTCTTAATCACTTTCAAATTTTAATATCCTATAATTTGAAATTTAACTCAACTAATAAGAGGCTTGCTTTACCCTAACAGGTCATATGGAGATATGATGGCAAGAAACCAGCTACCTTAGGACCCAATACTCGACTTTACAAATGGATTCCTCAGAATGACCTTCTTGGTAAGACTCAGAATAAATCTCAAAAATATGATTAATATCCAGTTAGAAAAATAAAAATTTAAAAATTTTTTGAAAATTTATTAAGAAAATTTCAAAATAATCTGATTTTTAAAGTTCTCTTTTTAGTCCTAGGGAGAAAGTGAATAAAGAACAACTGTGGGCATTTTATTATACAAAGTCATATTGTTTGTGTTCATAGTCCAAGTATCCTTATTTTAGAGGTAATTACCTCTCACAAAGAATTTTTTGGTCACTTCCTGGATTGTCCCTTATCTCCTATTTCTACAACTTTACACCTACCCTTTGACATAAAATAGTGCTATCTGAAATGCCAATAAAAAACAGCCCTCTCTGTTATTACAACTGACTCTGCATGTTCCATATCCTAAAAAAAAAAAAATCCATAATCCTTAAAAAAATTTTTTAGGAAAAGGATAGAATTTAATCCTTATTTACAGGACACTTTAAAATATGAAATTTTACTTAGTAATAGGAAACCCATTTAGAAGACAATCTTTATACATATATACAGTTTGGAACTGTTCTAGTACAGTTTTGTTGTAAAAAGTGCTATAATGACAAACCACATTTACAAAGAGTTTTAGCAGAAAAACAGTAAGACAAATTTATTCCAAACATACTACACAATAAACTTTATGCCTCAGCTGTGTAGCATATAAGTTAAAAGTCCCAGGAGTGCTGTCCTGAACTTGGAAGGTACAGCCTTCAGAGGTAGTTTCTGGCACAACATTCTGATCATCCTCTTTCTCTACTGAAAAACACTTCTCAATCAAGTTTAAGATCTTAATCCTGAAGTTGTACTTCCTAATGAAGTACAGCAAATCCTACCTCTGATTTCATAACCACCAACAACCCACTCCCTGCTGCATTGGACACCCTTCATAGCATGCTCAGGGACATCATTGTTGTTTTAATTGAACACATAAATCCAGGTCCCCTCTTATGTTTGCACAGGTTGGTTGTTCTACCCAGTATGTCCTCCTTCCGTTTGTCTAGATAGCAACCTTATTTTCATTTTTCAGATCTCAGGTAACATACCTACTCTTCCATGTAATCTTCACTTACCTCGCCAGTGGACACAGGTGCCTCTTGCCCCAAGAATTGAAAGTAATTGTGATATGAATTCATCATTATAAGAATCTATTACCTAGAAAACAATTTATCTTCATTGCTTTACATTACATATTTGACAATTTATTTCTGACATGAATAATTTCCCTTCATTTGTTTCAATCCTAGGTCATCCAAAAACCAAAGCTTTTATAACTCATGGTGGAACCAATGGCATCTATGAGGCCATCTATCATGGGATCCCTCTGGTGGGCATTCCCTTGTTTGCGGATCAACCTGATAATGTCATGCACATGAAAGCCAAAGGAGCAGCTCTTAGACTGAATTTTATTACAATGTCAAGTATGGATTTACTCAATGCGTTGAATACAGTCATTAATGAACCTTCGTAAGTATAACAAATTTTTCAGTAAAGTAATATTTATATTTAGGTACCCTTGAAAATGAGAAAAGATTTATTCCTCTTTGAGTCTAATGTTAATAACTAAAATTATTGAACTCTTTGAAATGTGCTTTTATTCTCAACCAATCATTTTTACATTGCAAATTAGCCTTACAAATTTACTTAATTAGCAGTACTAGTTATTAGTAAAATAATGTGATACTAAAAATTTTTTACTATAAAGCTAAATATAAAGAACACAGGTTTTACTAATATGACAAGAGAACAGAAGGACAATGCAGTTGAAGAAATAATATATTTCCATTTGATACCTAAAATTTCCAAAACTGCCAACATTTTTTTAAAAAATTACATACACTTATTTGGTATGGCAGAATAATTTGATACATGTATATAATATGCAATGACCTAATCAGGAAAATTTTTATTTCCATATTCTTAAATATTCATAATGTTTTCTGCTAGGAACTGTCAAACTCTTCTCCTCTAATTCTTTATAATATATATAAGAAATTATAAACAATAGTAAACCTATTGTGCTACATACCAGTAGCACTTATTCCTTCTATCTAACTGTAGCGTGTTCTGTGTTTTTCAACTTCTCTTTAGACCCTCTTGCTCCTACAATTCCCAGCCTCTAATTACTCCTTTTCAATAATGTACTTCTATTAAGTCAGCTTTTTAGATTCCACATGAGAATGAGAAAATGCAGTATTTTTCTTTTGGTGCCAGTATATAGGATTTAGCATAATTACTTCCACTTCAATCCTTGTAAGTAGAAATGACAATATTTCATTCTTTTTCATGGCTGAATAAAAGCCAGGTGTGTGTGTGTGTGTGTGTGTGTGTGTGTGTGTGTGCGCGAGTGTGTGTATTTCCATGTTTGCTTTAGCCATCATCTAACAATGAACAACTCAGTAGATTTATAGCTTGACTATTGTGAATAGTGATGCAGGTAAACATGGAAGTTCAGGACCTCTTTGATAAACTGATTTCGTTTTCATTGTGTTAGTATACAGTAATACGAAAGCTGAATCCTATGGTAGTTCTATTTGCATTATTTAAGGAGACTCCATGTTCTTTTTTTCCATAGTGGCCATACAAATTTGCATTCTTCTCAGTGGACTATAAGAGGTCCCCGTCCTCTTCTACCGCAACAGCGTTTGTTATTTTTTCACTTTTAGATTATGACCATTCAATTCAATGAGATTATCTCTCATTTTTGTTGTTGTTGCTGCTGCTGCTGCTCTTTTTGGCATGCTGAAGATTGGTGTTTTTCAAAGTTTGAGTAGAAAACTACAAAAGAGTTCTGAAATCAACATTGTGGATTGATTGTTGTTCGATTTACATCTCATTGCATGATTAGTAAAGTTGAGCACTTTGTCATATACAATATCTTCTTTTGAAATCAAAAGGTCTATTCTGATCATTTTCTGCTTTTTACAGCAATAATTTGGATTTTTGCTGCTGAGTTTTTAGAATTCCTCACATATTCTAGATATTCATCTTTTCTTACAAGTATTACCTCCCAATTGTGCATGTTTTCTGTTTACTCTCTTGGTGTTAACTTTGCAGTGCAAAAGCTTCTCAATTTAACATAATCCTAATTGTCCTTTTTCCTTTTGTTGCATGTGCATTGGAGTCTCAGCTAAAAAAAATAAATAAATAAAAAGTCATTGGCTATACTGATTTCTTCAAGTGTTTCCCCTCTACTGAAAATATAAATTTTTCTCCAAAATTGATTTTTACTTTAACAGATTCTATTATATATAACTTATATACCATAAATTTCTTGTTTGAGCTGTAAAAGTCAAATAATTTGGGTTATGTTCACATAGTTCAGAATTCTTCTTCAAGAGATAATTTTATAACATTTTTGTTGTGCCAAAAAGAAATCTCATATATCTTTCAAATAAATCTCTCTTAACCTCCAGCTCTTCGCCACAACTAATTATACATTCAGTCTCTAAAAACTAGCCTTAGATGCACATTTTATACAAATACAACCAGACATACAATGGTAGTCATCTCCAACTGTGTTGTTTCACTTACTATATTGTTTTTTTTTTAATTTTGTCCACGTTTAAACAAGTAGAGCTATGTGATTTCTACTTATTGCTGAATAGTATTCTTTGGTGTGGATGTATATAACACATTTTATTTAACCATTTATTACATCATGGACATTTGGGCTGTTTTTAAATTTCGAATATTTGAACATGGTTTGTTTTGTGTGGAAAAAGTTTTTTATTTTTCATTTCTTTTATGTAGTGCCAAAGAGTGGCATTACTCCCTCACATGAGAACTTCATGTTAGTAATTAAATTCCATTCTGTTTGCCAAATAATTGGCAAGATTTTACATTCCTAGAAGTAGTATAGGAGAGTTCTAACTTTTCCACATCACTGCTAAAAGTTGCTATCTTCTGTCTTCTTTTTATAATGCCAATCCTAGTGGTTATGAAGTGGCAACTAATTGTGACCTTGATTTGCACTCCACAGGTTGTTTAAAATGATGAATTGTTGTTCACATGCATACTAGATAATCATGTTTATTCTCTGTACAAATAATTATCCAAGTCTTTAAATCCTTTGTTAATTAGGTACTTGTCTTAAAATTGAACTGTCAGTAGTTTTTATTATGGAGACACATTTATATTGAGATATTTGATTTGTATGTATTTTATTCTATTCTGAATGGATGAGTTCATCATTTTTATAATGGTGTACTTTGGAAAGCAAATAATTTCAATTTCTATAAAATATCTTTTATAATCAAATTTTCTCTTAATACAACAAAAATTGTTCTATAAAATGTGTAGTGCTTAGATTTCTACCATCAAGTCAGCATTGAGCATGACTACCAATACTCATTATTTACGGAAGGTATGACCTATCGGAATACTTTGACAA